GTCTGATTGTTTTGATACTATACATATTGTTCATTTTCTAATGATATCTTCTGTTCTTTAATTGAAACATACATTGTTAACAGCAGAGCCATCTCAGCCGAGAGGCTGTTTGTTATTTGGTCCGATGTAAAAATATACTCTGGCTCAAAAAACTGCTTGATGAACTGCAGAAATGAAATTTTCAATGATTTTCAAATTTTATTTCCCAGTACTTTTGAATCACATGGTATAATGCCATATTATTAAAAAACTGTCATTTATTTTCAGTTGTAGAAGCTTTTTTTCTTGGTGAGCAAGACCGGTATCTGGAAGTAGAACTCTGTCCGTAAGTACAAGTGTACACCTGATACACCATATAATATGCAAATAGTGTTCAGTCACCCCTAAAACAGCATAATAATAATCCACATACTATACAGTGGCCAAATCCTTGACAACGTTGCAGTCATGGATGCATGTAACACATCTTCTGATTGGTTAATAATGACCTATTACAAATGAAAGGCGATTTGAATATTCATATAATCAGATGTAGTTGAGTGTGCACTGTTGACTTTAATGAGATCAAGTCGCGACAATTGTTGATTTCTATCTGATTACTTCCATACTCTACTGTAGGCATGGTCAGCATCTTTTGTTGCAACTTAATGGCATGAGGAACATGTTGAAGGTAAGAGGTTTTTCACATAACAGATAAAAAAGGCAATTGCCAAACATTGCTTGCTTGTTTTCAAACTGGCTTTCCTTTTCTTTCAGGATGAATTAAGTATTGATTTTAATGCCACAATTGATGGAGATACATGGCATGGTGTTGCTAAGATACCAATGAAATACTTTCCTCCAAAGACAACAAAATTCAACGCGTATGCCATACATGGATCAGGAGATGGCAGAATATATGAAGCGCTGTACCCTACCCCACATGGAAAATATAAAGAGCCTGATTTGTAAGTACGGTACAAGGCAACAATGAAATTTCACCAGTTTTGAATGTGTCCTAAAGAACAGTGATATTTCAATGAATACACTCCCATCCAACTGAAAATTGGCCTGGACAGGTTAAGTATAACCAACCACTCATTTTTTTTCTGATAAAATATAGTTACCAAAGATCATTTCTACATCAACAAAATTATTTCATACAATTATAAATGAATTTATTTTTCACAAAAAAACACAATGTTAAACTGTACATATAAAATATATATTTTTTTCTATTCAGCCACAGACTGGAATATTTTCAGGAAGAGAGTTTTAAAGATATTATTACAGACACTCCTGGTCTTTGGAATACAAGATGAATTTACACGTCTGGTTTCACCGAACATATCAACTTGTACGATAATTCCAGTATGATGGTAGACTATTTACACTGGAATAACAGCATAATAATAATTTGTATAATTGTCTACATGCGTAATTCTATGAAAACCACAGACAAACATGCATAGTTAGTCAAATAAAACAACATCTTTTAAGGTCGGTGTGGCTGTAATGTGTTCTTTTCTCCGGAGGAGAAATAAGTATTAAACGAATAGATTGTTCACAGTAAACATACATCTTGTTATAAGCTGAACTTAACCACAAACATAATGTACACTGGCACTTAATAATTCAATTCTGTAATCCCAGGGATATAGAACATACCCTTTAAAGGATTAAAATGCAAGCATATGGAAGTCTTGCTTATTTGCAAATGTATTATGAAAATATTGATGTAGAAAAATATATAAAAAATGAATTACTATCTTACAAAAGTAAATTGTTATTAGTGCTGTACATTTTGACATGAAATATCCAACAATATACAAGTACCGGTACTTATAGTGTTAATTTATTAATTAGTTGAACTAAGCAAGCCATAGTTTTGTAAACTGACGACTGATTTAAGTGTATATATGTACAATTACAATTTGAAGGAGTAACAGGTTTCCATTGTAGACATGCAACAACAAAAAAAGGGCTTGCTGTGATGTGTACTGGCCTCTATTTTCGGGTTCAACCACAATGGCTTAATTCATAAATGTTTCTTTCTGAAAACTAGAATTGATTTAGATCATTATTTAAAAATTATGCTGGAAAACAAATCACTATTTTTATGTTACTTTTATCCAATTCCTGCATATTTCCCTTTATTTTAATTTATACAATAATTACTCATAAAATAAGGGGGGGGGGAGGGGGTGGTGTTTGTTTACAATGATTTCCAGCACAGAAAGTAAAACAAATAGGTGATCTGATAACAGGTTTGGTCAACAGAGGGCGCTGTCATGACACTGATTGTTCAATGGATATTGCAAGCAATTTTGCATCTAAATCAGTGATTTGAAAGAAATCTATCATGATAGAATTAAAGCATCAGTAGTTTGAGTACAGGTA